GAGAGAGAGAGAGAGAGAGAGAGAGAGAGAGAGAGAGAGAGAGAGAGACTATGTGTGATTATGCTCATATGAATGCAGGTGCCAGGAGAGGTCTGAGAAGACCAGAATTCTTGTGTCCTCTAGGTTGGAATTATAAGCAGCTGACTCATGGTGACTGGTGTTGGGAACCAAACTGGAGTCCTCTGCAAGAGCTGAGCCGTATCTCAAGCACATGGTCTCAGACTTCTTAGAAGTTCTCAAGAATCAATACATCCTTTCAGAAAACCACATGGTCTTGATCACTAGAAATACTTCTGCTACACCCCATTGGTCAATGCAATCACCTGTTCCCAAATTAAAGAAAAGTACACATTTTACCTCATCGTAGAAGCACAGCTAAAGTCACTTTTAAGAAGAAAATTTAAAAAGAGACCGTTTTAGACAAATTTTGAAATTATAGCTGCTAGAGTGAGTTCAGTATTAGTTCAAAAGCAGCAGATTGTAAATATCTTGTATTTCCTTTTGTCTTTTTAAAAAAACAGAATGTCATATACTCCAGAAAGATGCCAAGTCCTCCCCAGTATGTTTAAGGGCTTCTTCTAAATTTACATCATTTCATATGCAAAAACCCCTATTTAGACCACGTTTGATTATATGTTCAGCACCTGCAAATCAAGCAACCATTGAATAAGGTCACTATTATGACTAACATTTAATCTATCGCATTTTCCATACACCCATAATATAGAGGCAATAACAATAAACTAAGAAATATGTACACACAATATTCCAATGCAAAACAAGACAAAAGCTCACCATGTGTACGATTTGCTTTCCTTTCAACAACTTTTCTTGGTCTAGTGCAGAAGACAAAGTCTTAGGGTGAAAAGGAATTTCTCCCAGAGTGCTGCATGCAGATTCCAACCACAGAGGTTGTTTTATCTTGAATGCTAGCAAAGATGCTCTTGATGCAAGATGCTGTTGAGATACAGAAAATTTTCATGCTCACATCATAACACTCGGTGCATCTTTCACTCTAGACACGTGTACACAAAGAGAATGTAGAAACATCTAGAAGTCAGCCTTCCTGATGGGCAAAAAGCCTGGTGATAACTGTCTTCTGCCAATGTATCTGTTGCATCATTCTGGGGACTTATGTGTGTTCCATAAATATCCCCTGGCTTCGGGAGTTTGTTACTCACAAAGGGAAGTGTCCAGTACC